TTAATTGTCATGTTAGTGTTAACTTGCCCAACAAATAAAATTATCAAAGGAATATGGCTAAATAAGATAAATTTGATCATCCTTTCTTAATAGTTTTTTTTTTTTTTTTTTTTTTATACTTTATTCTTATTTATTGGATCTTCTCTATTACTTAAGAGACTAACAATAAGTTTTCAAATCTTAATCTATGTTACGTTAACTTATGTTATTGAAAAAGGGATGGGAAATCATTCCGCTGTAGACGGGAATGATAGCTTAGCCGGTTGAGTTGTCTGGCAAGCAGGTTTGGGTGATTTGATAATCTGGCTTCATATTTAATTTTTCTGGAAACAATTTCTTCTTTTACGGGATTTATATCCAGGTCTCTCTGGATGTTTGCATTGCGGATGTACCAGGGGGCTCCAGTTATTGTTCGTAGGGTCTTTGATTGTACTCTTTGAATAATTTCTATATTGCTGCTGCTTGCGTTTCCCCAGAGCTCGGAACCGTAGGTCCAGATCGGCTTTAAGCACGAGTTATACAGTAGTACTTTATATTCGAGTGGAAGGGGGGAGCGGTAGTTCATGAGCCAGTGAAGGCTGCTGGCCTTTAGTTTTAAATGAGTCTTCTTTGCTTCTATATGCTTTCTCCAGGTAAGCCTCCTGTCTAGGTGTATGCCGAGATAGGTGACTTCGTCTGCTTGTGGAACCGGCTTGTTGTTTAGCGTCAGTGGTGGGCATTTCGACAAGTTTAGTGTAAATGTAATGTGCTTACACTTTTGCTCATTGACTTTGATACGCCAGTCTGCGAGCCATTTTTCTACAGCTACCAGGTGTTCTTTTAAATGGGCTGTAGCTGTTTTTGGGCATTTCGAGCGGCTGACAATGGCAGTGTCGTCAGCAAAGGTTGAGATGAGGGTCTGGCGGCTTGTTGGAATGTCTGCCGTGTAAAGGATGTACAAGATTGGTCCAAGCACACTTCCTTGGGGTACTCCAGCTTCGATGTTACGGATGGTTGAAGTAAAGGTTTTACATCTCACGGTGAAAACTCTGTTTCTGAGGTATGACTCAAGCAACTTGTGAGTGTTTTCCGGTAGGAGGGTTTTGATTTTGTATACCAGACCGTCGATCCAGACGCGATCAAATGCCTGTGATACGTCCAGAAATAAGGCACTGCAATATTGCTTGTGTTCGAAAGCCGTGCGAATTTCAGATGTTAAGCGGTTTACCTGTTCGATAGTTCCATGCTTTTCCCGAAATCCGAATTGGTGCAGAGGGATCGTTCTGTTGTTTTGAAGATGTGTTACTAGATGAACAAGAAGCAGTTTTTCAAATAGCTTTGATAGACATGGGAGCAGACTGATGGGCCGGTACGAGGAAGGCTGGGATTTGTCTTTTCCTGGCTTCGGGATCATTGTAATGACAGACTTTTTCCATTGGTCAGGAAAGTAGCCCCATTTCAATATTGAGTTAAATATAAATGCGATGCATCTGACTGCGCATGCAGGTAATTCAATTATCATTTTTGGAGAAATAAAATCGTGACCAGGAGCCTTTTTTGGGTTTATGTGTTCTTTAATAGCCTTAAGTATTGTGCTGGTTTCAAGGGTGACTGGGGAGGACGGCGACGCTAGCGAGACATTCGGTAGAGTGAATTGGTTGGATGGCGGGTGGGGCTTGAAGACGTTTTCCAAGTGATGGGCAAAGGTGTTAGCCCTTTCTTCGTCACTGCGCGCCCAGGCACCTGTTTGTGATCGAATTGGCCAATCGGGATCTATTGGTGGCTGCATGTTTGGGTGCGCTCTCCATAGTGGGAATTTATTACCCGTCGGGGATAGTTTCGCAATGTAGGCCCGTTGGGCCTGGTTCTTTTCGGTAGAGAGGGCCTTCGACAATTTTCGAGATGCTTCATTAAGTCTTTTCTTAGTAGCTGGGGACCGATGAGTCTGCCAGTCTCTGCGAAGTCTACGTTTTTCAAGTAGGAGAGACTCGATCTGGATACTTGAGCGTCCAGTTCTTAGCGGGTTTGTGGATGAGGGTTCTGGCGTAGAATGTTTGGCGGCAGAGGACATTACGTCCGTGAGGTGTTTAAGCGACTTGTCAATGTCAGATTCAGAGGAAATTTCAGGATCAAGTTCGATGTGTGCACTTACATATTTTTTGTACTTCAGCCAGTTTGTTTTGTTTGATGTTAGATGTTGGGGGCGTTCCAGAAGCTGCGGCTGTTCAGATAGACAGAGGAGAACTGGCGAATGGTCCGATGTAAGCTCTTCTAAGGTTTTTATGTTTATCAGCCTGTGCGAGACTCTTCTAATAACAGCGAAATCGATAATGTCAGGTTGTTTATTTGGATCTGTGGGCCAGTATGTAGGCCTAGCTGGTGAGACAAAGTCAAGCGCATTACCAGGAGTGATAATAGCGTTGTATAATTGGCGGCCTTTGGGGTTGATAAGACGAGATCCCCAGTGGGGATGCTTTGCGTTATAATCACCGGCAGCTATAAAGCAGCGTCCTAGTGAGTTGTAGAAATTCATAAACTCATTTTCTGCAATACTGAAGCGTGGGGGGCAATATATGGCGGATAGGGTAAGTGGGCCGCCAATTAGGTTTATACGTAGGGATGTGGCCTGCAGGTAGTTAGTAGCGAATGTCTCCAAGGGATGATGTTTTATGCGTTGTTTTATGAGTATACCGGTACCTCCGTGTGCTTTACCGTCCGGGTGGTTGGTCGCGTGGAATATATATCCGATGATATGGAAGTAGTTTTTATTAGTTAGATGGGTTTCAGAAAGTAGCATGATATCGATATTGTGGCTGTTTAGGAACTGTAGGAGTTCGTTTTTGTGCCGGGAAACGCCGTTTGCGTTCCAGAAGCATATTCTTAAGGAGTCCATTTATACAGACTTTTGTTTGATCAGCAGTTCCATTAGAAGGCTCTGGTTTCGCAGTAGTTCTTGAAGGGAACTTTGAATCGTCATCATGACGTTTGCAAGAGTAGCTAGTGTCGATTCTAGACCGCTAAGTGTTTGTGGGGGAAGAGTTTGGTTTTGCTGCGTAGAAGGTTGACTTGTTGTTTGGCCATTTTGGCTTAAGAGCGGGAAATCATTTAGGTTTGATATGGGTGGCTGTGGACGCAATGCTGCAGGTTGGGCGGTAGATGTCTGTGAGATTCCAGGGTAGCGGAGTGCGTTGGCAAAGGAGACACCAGGAGTGGTTGTTGATGGGGTGAAGATGTTTGGTTGAGCAGAGTGTTGAGCCGCGAGTGGATTACTGCGTCTCTGATTTAGGCGGCTCTTGAGTTCTTTGTAGACGGGACAGCCCCGGTAGTTGGCAGTATGATTTCCCCCACAATTACTGCATTTCCTCAGAGTAGGGTCTTCTTTGTTTCCCAGGCATGCTTCAATGCAATGCAAATCTCCACAGGCGACACAAACTGGACGCAGGGTGCAGTAGGTTCTTGTATGCCCGAACTCCTGGCAGTTTGTACACTGTACGGGGCCGTTCCGCTTATGCGGTTCCTCTACGGTGATTCTTCGGTGAAGGAGATATTGCAGATTGTAAATAGGATGCACTGCATTTTTCTTTAGAGGTTTCGTCTCTGGGGCCAGCTCAATCTTAAACAGTGGTTGGGGAATTTTATCCCTGTTCACTATGTTTACGATGTGCTTAACGTCGAAGCCATTTTCCGTGAGGCCTTCAGCTATTTCTGCTACCGCAACAGTCGATTCTATACCTTTAAGTACAACTTGTAGGCCTTTCTTACTTTTTAGTTGGTAAGTGTAGTAATTTATAAGCTCATTGTCAAGATATCTTGTTACAGAACGGAAGTTGTCTTCGTTGTTAACCTGGAGTTTTGTTTCTAATATGTTTCCTCTTTTTAGGGTATTGATATAGAAGTGGTTAGGCCCGATTACTTGTTTAAGCTTATTAATCAGATCGACACTGTTGTGTTTCCTAATATATATTGGCGGTGGCTTTACAGCTTTCATGACTTGAGGCGCCTGACCCTTGTCTTCTTCGGTCTCGCCAAGTATGGCAAATCTGTTTTCGGATGTTCGTGTGTTGCCTAAAGTTTTTGGTACTTTTGGCCAATTTGAGTTTGCGTTTTTTTGTGGACTAAGCTTTCTTTTTATTTGTACGTACCGATCGATCCCCGTCTGTACGAGAGTGTTATTCGTAAGAGGGTCAGTAGAGCAAAGTTTTACTTGTGGTGTTGAGATAGGCCACTGGGTAGCCGCAGACGTTAAAGTTGTTGTTGTCGTTGACGTTGCTGTAGTAAGAGAGGGTACAGTGCTGGTGGGCGCACAAGCCGAAGTAGTCGGCTTAATAGTTATATTTAAAATAATTTTATTTCAGTTCCTGAAAAGATCTGTAATACTTTTGATTTTAAAGTGTTATTGCCCCATTGAAATAAACAAATTTTAATAAGATTAATGTTTAATATCAATTCATCATGAAAATATGTGACTTAAACATATTTATATACAAAAATATGTGACTTAAATCTATTTTCATGATGAATTAATAAACAGACGATTTTCTCTTCGATTTAAAAAAAATTTTAGATTCATCAGATTTTGTATTCTTTTTCTATGGAATTTTGTATTTATTTTTAAAAACACACATTGTAAAAATAAGAATGGACAATTTTCTGACTTTGTTGTACAGTAGTACATTTTCCATTTTTCCATTTTTGCATTTTTTTATTTGACTTTTAAACACTTCATAATGTTTTAATAATTAAAAATAAAACAAATGTTTGATTTTTGAAGATCACTCGTTTTAAAGTAAACGGTACGTGGAAAAAAATGTAATTAGTTTGAGTTTGTCTGCACTTATCACAGCTAACAATCACAAATTTAGATTATTTTCCGGCATATTATGGATCATATAATGGAGCAGATTAAAATTTGTTGTGGGAATCCATAACCCATATGATAGGATTTATTGGAGCTTCGGTTTTCGAAGTAAGCTAATTTCCAACAAGTATATTCTTGGTTTAATTGAGTGAATGTTTTTCAGCTGCCCTGTGGGTCTTCAATGGAACAAGAACTTCTGCGACTGGCCGAATAATGTCAAGTGCTCGGTGCGGTCGGATCAGACTACACAGCCACCAGCAATCCATCGCCCCAAACCCACAAGCACCACACCGTCGCCACTAACAAACAAGCCTTTGAGCCTGCCTAATAAAAATCCCATTTCACGACCGAAGCCGTCAACAGCTCCCCAGCTGGGCAGCAGCGAGGAGTTCAAGGTAGTCTGCTACTTTACTAACTGGGCTTGGTATCGACCGGGCCAGGGAAAATATGTGCCCGAGGACATAGACGCCAACCTGTGTACGCACATCGTTTACGGCTTCGCGGTCCTCGATAGCAACTCGCTGACCATCAAAACGCATGACTCCTGGGCAGATATCGACAACAGATTCTACGAGCGCGTAGTCAAGTATAAGGAGAAGGGTCTTCGTGTTACGGTGGCCATTGGTGGGTGGAACGATTCGCTGGGCAGCAAGTACGCGCGCCTAGTGCTCGATCCACAGGCTCGGCAGCAGTTTATTAAAAGCGTGCTAGCATTTGTAGAGAAGTACGGTTTCGAGGGCCTGGACCTGGACTGGGAATACCCGGTGTGTTGGCAGGTGGACTGCACAAAGGGGGCACCAGCGGAAAAGCAGGGATTCGCTGCTTTGGTAAAGGAACTGTCCCAAGCCTTTAAGCCTAAGAGCCTGCTACTTTCAGCTGCGGTCTCGCCTAGTAAGCTGGTCATCGACGCAGGATACGATGTGCCCAAGCTATCGCAGTACTTTGACTGGATTGCTGTGATGACGTACGACTTCCACGGTCACTGGGATAAGCAGACTGGTCATGTGGCCCCGCTCTACCAGGTAGAGGGGGACGCCAATCCACACTTCAATGGAAACTTTAGCATCCTTTACTGGCTGGACCAGGGCGCTCCCGCCGGCAAGATTCTTATGGGAATGCCCATGTACGGCCAGTCCTTTTCGCTGGCTAACCAAAAACAATGGTCACTAAACGACAAGTCCGTAGGTCCGGGACAGGCAGGCACCTACACTCGCGCTGGTGGATTTTTGGCGTACTATGAGGTTTGTGAAAAGGTCGGCAATGGCGGCTGGAGCGTGGTAAGGGACAAAGAGGGGCGTATTGGACCTTACGCTTACAGTGGTAACCAGTGGATATCATACGATGATGTGTCAGACATTCGGCGAAAGGCTCAGTTCATTAGGAGCTTGCGCCTGGGTGGCGGCATGGTCTGGGCTCTTGACCTAGACGACTTCCGCGGCCGTTGCGGCTGCGGCAAACACCCATTGCTGCGGACTATTAACCAGGAGTTGCGAGGTATTCCCGGACAGCGCACCAACGATTGCACATGATATTTTGCACACAAAACGCTGTTGAACGGTTAAATCTATTGTAAAGACTTTTGATTATTTCTTGTATTAGCACACAACTCTTATCAACCAATTAAACATTCCATTGAAATTAAAATCGTATGAATATTTAGGAATAATGCTAGTACACCGGTAGGGTTCGTAAAGACATAGTTTTGCGGGCACGAATGGCGGTCAAAATTGCGATGACCGGTAATAGTGGGCAGAAGGACCCGAGATTCGCTGGATCAAGTAATCAGTATGAAATTGGTGTCGGCGGTTTTCAAATTAAAAATATCCTAAGGAGTTGCGAGCTTATAAATTCGATATCAGCACCAAGACCTTAATTTAAAAGTGCAGTATCGGATGATGGCCTGGTCAAAGACCTGCGGTGATTTCGTTCTGTATAGTTGGGGGAACCATAGAGAATCTGGAATTTCGTTATCGGTCTGTCGAGACGAGAGAGATCTTGGTCAGGTTTCTGTTACAGGGGGTGGCCAAGCAGAAAATGTACATCTAATTTTAACACATTTATCACCTTAAGAGTCAGACAAAGACAGAGACATGCAAGTCAGTTGTGAAATTTCTTGGGATCACAAATAGAGCTCTAACTAAACATGACAAAAGACGTTCACAAAATAAATAAAAAGGTTTAATCAATCAAAAATACACTATAAATAATAATTAAACCAAATTAATTTCACAAAAAGTCTTTTTTTTGTTTAAATTTATAAAATAATTAAAATCGAATAGCTTTCAAATAAAAATTTATATTGGAAAAAAGGTCGAAAACTTTGCTGAAGCGATCACAAACGATTGATATTCCAGACGGAAAGCCAGTAAAGTAAAGTCAGCTTAAAAGCGTTATTCTGATATAGTAAATAATTACTATATCTTCAAGGAATATGTTAATAAATAGAAAATCAGGAAAATAATATTTTTATACCCGTTACTCGTAGAGTAAAAGGGTATATTGCATTTGCGCAAAAGTATGTAACAGCTAGAAGGAAGCGTTTCCGACCCTATAAAGTATATATATTCTTGTTCAGGATCACTAGCCGACTCGATCTAGCCATGTCCGTCTGTCTGTCCGTCTGTCTGTCTGTCTGTCCGTATGAACGCTGAGATCTCGGAAACTATAAAAGCTAGAAGATTGGCATTTTTAGGAGTTCCTACGCAGCGCAAGTTTGTTTCAAAAAGGTGCCACGCCTCCTTTAACGCCCACAATCGCTAATATACGATTTTACAAATTTAAATAATTCGGAAAAGTAAAAATGCAGTTTTATTGTGTTTATTAATACCTATCGAAATGTAGAAGAAATTTTTCAAATCGGACCATTCGTTAAAAAGTTATGCGTGATCAAAGTTTCTATCTCCATCTCCTTCGCACTCCCTTTACCTGAGTAACGGGTATCTGATAGTCGGGGCACCCGACTATAGCGTTCTCTCTTGTTTTTATATTAATATTTTTTAATTTTTGATTGTTTCTATGGAAGCTATATGATATAGATGTTCGATCTTAATTTATTTAAAACCGTAATTTCATAGTATTAAAATATTAATAAATCCCAAATAACAAAATAAAATGAAGTACAAAAAAGTTATACTTTTTTTTAAATTTTTTCCGATTATTTCATTTGGAGCAATATGATATAGTCGCCCAATCCAGCTTATATACTACCTGCAATAGAAAGACCACTTTTGGAACAGTTTCAAGCAGATAGCTTTAAGACTGCGGGACTAGTTTGCCTAGAAACGGACGGACGGACGGTCGACCATGACTAGATCGACTCTCCTGGTGATGCTGATCAAGAATGTGTATACTTTATAGCGTCGGAAATGTCTCCTTCACTGCGTGGAAAACTTTTGCCTGTAATTGTATTACCCTCTGCAAGGATATAAAAAGGAAGGTGATCCGAATCCACGGATAGAAATTTCCCTAAAAACGAAGATATAAAACATACCAAAGTCTTATATAGCAAGGTAGCGTGGGGTAAATTTCATGGTTAAACAATTTGCATTTAATTGATATAAATTTAAATTATCTAAAGATTCCGGTACTTTTTCTATATATTATTTATGAATTCATTTCAGATAAGTTATTAAAAAGTTTTATTCAAGTGTTATTCTTTTAATTTTTTTCTATTTTTGATTCACATTTTTTATACACTTGCATAATTTTGGTCAAAAGTGTGCAACGCAGTGAAGGAGACATCTCCGACCCTATATATTCTTGATCAGGATCGCGTTCTGCCACCGTATTTCAGAAATTTCTCCAGTTAGTTGGTCAAATAAACAACATCCGCCTTTGGCAACAATTTCTGGCGGCAAATAACTTCGGCACCAGCAGGAGATATTTTTGCTAGTTTTTACCGCGATTTGGGTTTAGAATAGACTGGCTGCCACACAAAACCGACTGGCCGCCCCATAAATTGCTGGATGACACGCACAATATTATATTTCGCGCTTTTTAGCTTTTTAGCACGTCCGTTCCTCTTGCAGGGTAAAATAGAAGAAGGTATCCGAAGTCGGACAAAGGCCAATAAGGTTGTTAGTGTCACTTGTGTCAAAATTGAACTTTCCAAAGCCTCCCTATCTTAGCTGCGATAAATAGCGAAAAACCTTTTTAGGTGGCAAAACCCAATCAAACTTAGGTTTAGGCTTAGATCATGTGTAGTAGGCTTTTAGGCTAAATTTCTGTTTGCCAGTTGCTACAGGCGCCGTTTCAAAAACCCCAGGTAGAATCAGGCTGCAGTATTTAACTCTAGATACTAATGACAAATACAGCCTAAAGTGACATAACTGGTGAGTGTCTTTAGCGTGGTAGTTGTCGACCTTGCAAGTCTTCCAGTTTGTAATAGGAACTTCCCAGTTTTCTTCGAGCACAAAATAATGGACCAACCTAAAGCAACTTTGTTTGAAGTTGCGGCGAAACTCTTTTTGAGGATGATAAAAAACCCGATATTCCCACTTCTTGAACGCGGGTAAGGTCTAAGTAATTTAATGCGATTACGCTGAAAAAGTCGTTGGAATTTTTCTAAAGGTGGCCTAAGAAATTTGCACACAAGCATTGATGAACGCCTTAATCTCTAGTATAAGACAAAGTCGAAAATAATATAGCCTTACGCGTTCAATAGTTTATGAACCCCCATGAGAGGCTAAAGGACTGTTGGGAGCTTGAAAAAAGGTATCCATAAATTTCCACGCATATTCATCGTGAACAGTTAAGTGTTGTGCTTTCCACCTTCTGCTTTCAGGTCAGAGCAATTGGCTTTGTTAGCCTCAACCTTCGTCATTAGATCTTTATCTTCAACGGACTTAAAGAGTTCTAAATTTAAATCAACCAACAAGCCTTCTCGCAATGGACTAAGACTACTCTTCAACAGTTTAAAGGCTTTCAGTGCTTCTAGAGTCGAACTGAACTTTCTTTTGGATATCATTCAAAAGGTTAAAGGCGAAAAAAAGCGAGTGAAACCAAATTCGGAAAGAATTTTCGTTACCAACCACATAAGCCCATAAAACCTTAAGCCTCGTACAGTTTTCGGATCAGGGAAGTCGATGATTGCTTTCACCTTTTCTGGATCTGTTCTGCATAAATGTCTTTTGCCCATACTGAACAAAACAAAAATAAACCCCGAACAGAGCGGACGTGCGAGCTCCGGGAAAAGTTGAAGAAAGTGGATGTATTAAACACAAATAAAATTTTAAAAACTAAATTTGTGTATTACAAAAAATGCGAAAAGACGCTAAAACAAAAAAATCAGTAATATGATTAAATCAAGTGCAATAAAGAGCGCATAAGCTCGGTGAGCCGAAGAGACGGGTATTTCTCGTATATCTCTACGCGCGATAGCGAAGTGCAAAAACGTCTACAAAAAGCCACCCGGCTCTACTGTCAGTTGTAAGGATGTTTTCTCGGCCGGGGTACAGATCTCAGTCGGATCCAAGAGTCCTTTACAAGAAATTTGTAAATCACCGAAACACCGGACTAGAGAGTTCCGTTCTACAGGTAAACAGATGATTTTAATGGGGAGTCTGCACCGAGGGTTCTTGTCCGTGTCGGCGGAAACGTAGACGTGTGGAATCCTTGTCGTGTTTCGCGTCGAGGGCGAAAAATCCACCGGGCTGGACCTTCGGGCGAGGCCGAGCCGGGAGAATACTTGGCGGGTGTTAAATTCCTGAGTCTCGCGTCGAGGGCGGAAAATCCACCGGGCTGGACCTTCGGGCGAGGCCGAGCCGGGAGAATACTTTGCGGGTGTAAAGTCCTGCGTCTCGTGTCAAGGGCGGAAAATCCACCGGCCTGGACCTTCGGGCGAGGCCGAGCCGGGAAGATACTTTGCGGGTGGAAGTCTTGGATCTCGCGTCAAGGGCGGAAAATCCACCGGCCTGGACCTTCGGGCGAGGCCGAGCCGGGGAGATACTTTGCGGGTGGAAGTCTTGGATCTCGCGTCAAGGGCGGAAAATCCACCGGCCTGGACCTTCGGGCGAGGCCGAGCCGGGAAGATACTTTGGGAGGGGCGGGGCCGGATTGTAAAAGGACAGAGGGATTCGACTTGTCTGACCGGCCGGGACGGGTGTCCACGTGCCAGTCTCCAAACTACTACGTAGACCAGACACTAGGTTAATAGATCCGGCGGGACGGGTGTCCACGCTCAAATCCCAAACTACGCAAGAGGGATGGGGAAACTACCGGAGAACGGATCCGGCGGGACGGGTGTCCACGCACAAATCCCAAACTACGCGAGGGAGTGGGGAAACTACCGAGCAACGGATCCGGCGGGACGGGTGTCCACGCACAAATCCCAAACTACGCAAGGGGGATGGGGAAACTACCGGGGAACAGATCCGGCGGGACGGGGGTCCACGCACAAATCCCAAACTACGCGGGGGAGTGGGGAAACTACCGAGAAATGGATCCGGCGGGTCGGGTGTCCACGCACAAATCCCAAACTACGCAAGGGGGATGGGGAAACTACCGGATCGAACGGGAAGGGGTCCGCGTTCGGGTCCGATGGTACTACTCGGAGCGAAAACTACGGCTACAGTGGCGAACGGGAAGTATGTCCACGTTCGGGCCCAAAGTAGCTCTGGGAATGAGGTTAGGTTAGGTTAGGTTCACTTTT